GTGCCTGTCTCCTCTTGGGCAACACGATGCTGCTTCCTGACCCGCTGTGGCTCCTTGCTCGGCGCAGGGAATGCCGAAGCCTGTTTGGAAAAGGATCCAGTGCTGGCTCTGTGGTTGAGCTGGAGACCACAGTTAAAGTCTACCTCATCTGCTGCAGCAATTCCTAATACTACACGCGACGCTTGCTCTCTCTAGTTTCGCAGTGTCTGCTTCGGCAAGAGACAGGGCTCTGCTGCCGCCGGGCACAGACAGGGAAGCCTGTGCAGCCAGTGATTAGCGGTCTTGGCTACCAGCATTCAGAAATGAGGCCACCCCAGAAAGATGCAGATGAGGTTGAGCTCTTACCCTCAGGAACATGAGTGGGGAATGGAAGCTGCTGGCCCCTTGGGGAACATGTGCTGTGCTGTCTGAGGGCTTGCTTCGTTCTGAGTTGTATAAATGTCAAGAAAACATATATTAAATCAGCCTATTTATGTATTGGTTCTAAACTGATGCTTACCGTTTGCTGGAGCACTAGCCTTTTATCATTGGCCCTTCTATTTAAAATTCATTAGAAAAACCAAATATACTTGCTGTTCTTGGCTTAGCACTAAAGAGAGCTGTCATCCTTGCAGCTAACAACACATGGAGCATGATTGGATAGCATCATTTGTATTAGCCACAAAAAGAAAAGACATGAACAGTAACATTGGCCTTTTTAAGTAAGATATGGGTGACTGGCAGAAGGGCATGGGGAAACAACCCCAACTTCTGCTAAATCTTTATCCGGTCTTTTACCCTTTATTTCCTAGCTCGCCTGCAATCCATTAAGCATGCAAAGTTTCAAACTTATCCTCAGCTACTCCTAGAATTAGTAATACTCCACAAATGGAAAATGTACCTTTTGCTTTCCAAGATGACCATGTCATCCGAAATAGTTTCACTGCTAATACATGTAATCATAAATTCTGACACTGGTGAGGAATTAGGATGACAAGACAGCAGTGAGGAAAGTGTTGGAGAAATGTAGGAATTAGCTCAGCTTATAGAATTCAACTCTTTTGCCCAGCAGACAACTTGACAGATGTCAAGAAGCAATAGCCACCAGGCATACAATGGGCTGGATTCCCTCTGCTCCCTTCTGCAGCTCACAGGGCACATAAGGACATTGGTCCCATATGACCGCTATGGCAGAGCGTATAGGAAAAACAGTTTCCATAGGCTTTGAGTGCACAGAGGTGTCAGTTACAATGCTGTACTCTGTGGGCTCTGTTAGAACCTACCAGTGTGTTATTTTGAGCAGAAATAGTGCAAATTCACAAAATGTAGATGTGGCCTAAATATTAGAGACGCATGAAACCATTACTAGGTGCAAGCAGCTGCAGAATTCAGCATAAGTGACAGCTGTAGCTTTTGGAGCCCTCCAAGGGCTCACCATAGTTTAGTTCAGACCCAAAACACACTCTCAAGCCAACAATGAGAATAAAACATTATAAATGGTTTAAGTTTTAGCTGTTATAACTACATAACTGACAAATGCTGCCCACAGTCTGTCATTAATAATTAGCGATGAAGAAAAGTCAGGGAAACTACTAGACTTAAATAGACTGTGGACTCTTCAGCTCAACACATACACTCCAAAAAAACATCCAGCCACTCCAAATCAAAGGAAAAACCCAAATAACGTGACAAACACTTCCCAGTGCTTGTTTTCCATTAGGGCTGGAGTGAAAGGCTGGAATACAGCGTCCAAAGACCGGAAATGTTAGTTGGTTTCCCTAAATCTCAATCTTTTTTATATCAGAAACACTTCCTTTCTACAAGGATCCTCCATTTATTTCTCCTGTTACCACTGTCAAAAGGCCACAACCGCTGGCCGCTGATCATAACGCCGCTTGTGCTCACAGCACCCACATTAGAGATCGCATTAACTCTTTTTTTTTTTTTTTTTTTTTCCTGTAAAGCTGTTTTCATGAGCCAAAAAGGTGTTTCAAGAACTTGAGCAAAGTCTGTCCTTGGCAGCATTAACAAAAATTGCAGCCACGTATACTTGCAGCAGGATCTACAGAGAGCAGAACTGGAAATGCATTGTGCTGCCATTTCAGGGAACTGGAGGATGGAAGAAGTCCTTTTCCACATAGTTGGATCAGTGCTTGCCTTTGGCAAGGCTTTGCTTTAATAAACTTTAAAAGTATGTGAATAGTGGACTACCTAGGTACTAGGAGATGGGGAATCCAAAAACAAAGCTTAAAAGAGTCGTTTCTAGTGTAATACAAACTATGATTTAAAAAGTACTTCACGTATTTCTTGGTGTTTAAATTTACTGCAAATGTAATTTATCATTTACTATTTTTAGTTTCTACTTATACCATCCCATTGTATTCTCTGTACCAATAACACCACTAATGCAAGTGATCGGATGATGCTCCAAGCTAACGAAAGTTTTAGATGATCTTCTCAGAAATACAGTAACTGTGCTAATTATTGTGTGGTCCACATGACATGTAATTTACACTGGATCTGTAATATGTAATACCCTCATATTAAAGTTTTTAAAGCAAAAAAGAGGTAGAGAAAAGTGGATTAAAAATGCTGCATGTCTCTTTAGCAGCTAAAACCTAAAGAAAATATGAGTCAATGCTGTCTTAAAAATCTAAGTGTTCTAATGGTGTATGTGGCAGGCATTAGAAATTTAACAGGCAACTAAAACTTGCACATGGACTTAATCCAAGCTCTTTAAAATGAGCTCAGACTGTGAGTGACTAGTTGCTTGGTCTGGAGTGTGGGGAGTGCTATTAGAAAAAAAAAGGAGAGAGAGGGGAGAAATATTCTGGTACTTCCTTTGAGAGTCACACATGCACACACGCTACCATTCAATTTTGGGGTCAGGTTGAGTCAGAGATATTACCCCCAAATTTTAGGTTTAAAGTGGTTTGGCAAGAAAAGACAATGGAAAAATTGCTCATATCTCCATGTTCCCATTAAGTTCTGAAGTCTGCTGTGCAAACCAAAGGAATGTACATATCATAGTTTAAAAAAATAGATTAAGCCAGTAGTGGAAAAGAAGTTCTAGGATATTATTATCCTTGGCTATTTTCATAAAAATGAATGATGAAACATTTCAGTTAGAATATCTATTGGAATGTTATAAAACAGTGCTCCAATTATATCAGTGTCCCATCTGTGAATGCGATTCCTGCCCTGTACAAAAGACTCTGAAATCATTTGCTGACTGTTAGCTGGCGTAACTGTGTCCTAGGGCAGGCTTACAGATTGAAATGGGCTACCTCGAGTGACGGAGCAGTAACAGATGTGGGACAACAAGATGACACAGGGACTCATGGTCACCTGATGAAAATCTCTGCCGTGGCTAGTGTCTTGCTGATACTTGCAGAAGCACAGCTCAGGGAGCAAGGCTACCGGAGCATCTTTTTGCTAGCAGGGTGTTAGGCTATGCAAAGTCTTCATTCCTCATTCTAAGCCTAGTCTAATCATAAAAGGGGACTAGGGCCTAAAATTACTAGCACATCATTTACACACCCTGCATTAATGAGACTCTTGCACTTTGTTGTGGTTGCAGAAATCCTCCTAAAGCCAGAGACTGATCTCAAAAGTGCCATGTGCTATTAACCCCTAGCAGTATCATGCAGCTCTTTCAGTGGAAAGCTTGGGAGCAGACTTATGACACAAAGGCGGGTCGTTGCCAGGGTCTGCTCCCATTGCCCCAATGCCACTGGCAGGAGGAAGCTTTTTGCATAAGGGAGAAATACATGCTGGGGCCCAGGAGCATATTCTTTCTGCCGCATCTCTGGGCTCTATCATGCAGCTGACTGTAGTGCTCATCTGGCTGCAGGGGTCTCAAATATTTGATTGGGAGGAAAATTTTAAAAAAAAACAAAAACAAAAAAAAAAAAAATCAGTGCCTTTCATTTTGGCCTGTGACTGCAAGGCTCTGGGGAGCATCTGCTTTGGGGGAAGCAGGGCTGCACAGCAATGGAAGGGGATGTGGTAGCTGCCACCTGAGTGCTGCCTTGTGTTTTGAGCCACTGCTATCCTACAGCAGGTGAGAACAGGACCTCACCTGAGAAGAGCAAGAAGTCTCCTATCTCTCCCTTTCCTGCTCCTCTCTGCAGTAAAAATAACTTCTCCGGAGAGTGACTAAGAGCAGCTGAAACCCTCAGCAGAGAGGGAGTTTTGTCTGGAGAAAGCCAAGGATACACGCGGCGGGGCAATGGCCTGATCCTAAGGCGGTGTAAAGCCACTCCGAGTCTTTCCATTGGCTTGTCCGAGAATTGGAGCTCTCGGATGATTCCCTTTGGGTGTGCGTGTTAACGAGTGTGTTTTGGCAGGTGCCAGGGCAGCTTGCTACGGCAGGAGACAACAAATAGCCGCTACTGTGGGCCCTTCAAAGGAAGCCCCGCGGTACCCGCCTCATCCCCCCGTCGCCCGCAGACCCCCTCCCCTCCCCTCCGCCGGCCCCGCCAGCGCCCGGGGCGGCTCTGACTCAGCGGCCGAGCGCCGGGGCGGGGAGGGGAAGCTAAAATGGAGCGAGTCGAGGGAAAAGCCCTTCCCTTCACCTCCTGCCTCCCCCGCACACACTCCCTCCCCTCCACGCTGCTCCCCGGAGCGGTAGCCCTGTGAAAATTGCAACTCACCTGCGCATCCCGCCTGGCCCGCGGGGTGCAGCGCCCAGCACCCCGGGGGAGCGGGCAGGCCGCCTGGGCAGGGGGCTGCGGGGCCCGGGGGGAGCAGCCGGGCTCGCTGGTCCACGGGTGCTTTACAAGAGCCGGGCTGCGGGCGGCGAGGGGTTTCCTCGCGCGGAGCATCCTCCGCCTGGATCCGCCGCTGGTGGCCACGCCGACCCCGAGAGCTCCAGGCACGGCTGTGCCCGCAGCCCCCCCGCCCTGGCCGCTAACTTCGGCCGGAGAGATGCCCCTTCCCCTGGCTCCACGCCGGCATCGCACAGCCGCTGCCGTGCCTGCAGCCCCCTCAGCGTCCCCACGCAGGGCCGCGCCCTCCCCGGGGCCCACAGCCTCGCTCGCCGCGGCGGGGGACGACGGAGGATGCGGCGGCCCTTCCTAGACGGCCGCCCCGCACCTCGGTGGGGCCGGGGCGGTAAGCGGGGAGATCTCCGCTGCGGAGGGGGGGGGGGGGGGGACACACACGACACGGGTCGGGTCGGAGCGGACCCTCGGCGCGGAGCGGCCGCGCAGGGGGCGCGCACTGGGCGCTGACAGCGGGGCAGACTCCTCCTCTCGCCGCGCTTAACTCTTGCCTCCACCGGCACACCGCGGCCGCGGCGGAGGGGAGCGCGGCCCCCACCCCGAGCCCCCCGAGCCTCCCCAGGCCCGCCGCACGGCTCGCCCCAGCCCGCCCGCCCCTCGGGGGTGCCCACCCCGACGGGTGACCGCGGGCACCCCCGAGGGCAGCGCGGCCGCGGAGCCTCCGGCCCCAGCCCAGCGCGGCCGCGGGCTCCGCTGGGCCCGGGGAAGCCGCCTGCGACTCCCCGAAGCCCGGACCTGGGCAGGCGGCGGAAGGGTTAAGCGGCCGGGAGGTTACTCAGCGGGACTCCTGGGGTGATGGCTTGGAAGAGGAGAGTCCCTCTGGCTGAAGTTTAAAGGAGGTTTCTCCAGACAGATTTGTATCGCCTTCGCGGAGCGCTTCAAAACCAAATCTAAAGCCAGTCCAGTCCCTTCCCCGAGGGACCTTCTCGCCGTGAATCCCCTCCTGCCGCCCCAGCCTGTGCTGCCAGCCAGCTACACCCGGCGGGATAAACCACCCGGCCCAGGAGTGAGTGACCCACGGAGAGCCCCGGGTGAGGGGAGGGCACACACACGGCACTCAGACACACAGCGCGGGAGTAGGACCCTACCTTGATCCATAGACCTCATGATGTGGTGGTAATGTACCAGCCTGCAGGCAGTTTCTCTCTGCATCGGGAATTAAAAAAAAAAAAAAAAAAAAAAAAAAAAGCAGGAAAAAAAAAAAAAAAAGAAAAAAAAATGGAATTACAAAAATCTTCTTTAAACCATGTTCAACCGGTGCCGCCCGGACAGAGGGAACCCCTCTTGCTCGCCTCCTCCGTAAGAGTTTGGAGGTGCAAAGAGGGATCCGAACTGGGCTGAGCTTGTTCCTGAAGTGAAGTCAGTTCTCTGCTCTGAGATGAGGGTTACTAGAGAGGGAAAGGCCACTTCCTTCCCTGCTCCGAGTGTTTATAGTCTTTGAATGCTGTAAAATAACGGGATTCCCTCACTGTTTCCTCCTGTTTATCCCAGTGCCATGGAAACCCCTGGATCGCCTCCATCTCCCAAACTGAGGGCTTTCCTGCAAACTTCACACTCAGGAATCCATGACGTCTCCCAGCTCCGGGCCAAGGCAGCTCTGCGGCTTTCTCAGTCTGCAGCACAAGCACTTAATTGTTGAGCAGAAAGTTAGAGAGCAAGAAAGAAAGAAATATGGATGATGTTAAAAATCCCAGTGTGTGCTTTTTAAACAAAACTTGCAGGAACTGCAAAGCCTTTCAAAGCAACAGGGCTTCTGTGCAGAAGTTTTCCTTCTTCCCAGCAGACACCAGCTCGGACTGCTGCTGCTTTTACCTTTGAATAAATCATCCAGAAAACCGAAGTCCCCAGATTATATTTATGTCTTTTAAATTTGCCAGCACCCTATTAATACCCATCTTGATACTGGCACAGGTTTTGGCTTCTAATTACCACTGGCTCAATTCTTCATACAGAAAACGAAAAGAAAAAAAAAAGAAATCCGTTATTTTGTTTAGTGGCATTTCACAGACCTCTCTCTGTTTCTATTTTTAGATCCATTTAGAAGAGAGAGGAGCAACCCCATGGATTTCCATTGATACACGTGGAGCTTAGCAAGAATGAAATAGCCAAGGAAGCCTCCGAAACCAAGACAACCCGTGTGTGTTTACACATACTATGTATAAACAGGAAAATAAAGCAAAAGAAAACAGGAAAATAAAGTCAAAGATGTCATGAACTGTGTGCTGTCTCACAACATATAGCTCTTAGTAGTGCGTTAACGAGCATCTGCTTCCCGATACCGTGCTGGGCTCAGTACCTCCACGCAACTGAACTTACATCGATAATTTCCAGCGGTCACCTATACAAAACGCTTCCTCGGGGACGGTGGCAGCTCTGCAGTCCCTCGGTGTTTGTGCACAGCCCCGCGGAGCGTCGCGCAGTGCGTTGGGAGCCGGGGTCAGCCGGAGCCCGGGCAGCAGCGCCCGTGACTCACTGCACAGGGACTTGGCCCGGGGCTGCACGGAGGGCTGGCTGGCACCCGCACGACATTTCCATTTTTCACTCCCTGACTCCCAAAATCGACTCGAAGGAGGTATCACAATCAAACTTTCTGCTTCTCGAGTTTGTTGTCCTGCAGGCTAGCAACTGCAGGCAGGCCAGGGAAACTCAGCGCACCTCACTTTCCTAGCCTTTGTCATTTTTGGACGTGCCGAGGCGGAAATACCTTCCCCAGCTCCGCTGGCCCGTTTTGCAACCGGCTTCCACCGACCCCCGAGGTGCGGGGGAGCCCCGTCCCGGTAACCCCGCGCCCCACGGCTCCCCCCGCGGCGCCGCGCCAGCCTCCCCCGGAGCCCCCGCAGTGAGTACCCCCCTCACACCCCCGCCGGCTTTCAGGGAAGCCTTTTTTTCTCCTCGTCCCCGCAGAGCCTGAGCGCCGGGACCCCTTCGCTCTCCCCCAGCATCGCTCTCCGGCCGCTCTCTCGCAGGGATTTCCCCACCCGAGCCCCGGGCGCGCACGGCCGCGGGCGGGCAGAGAAACGCCGAAAAAGCCGCGCCTGACACTTAGACTCGACCCGGCTGCTTTGCCCTGTAGCAGCCCCTCTCAGCGGGCCACCTCGAAGCCACGCTGTTTACGGGCGAGATCCTGCCGAAGCCCCGGCGCTGCTGTCCCACGCGGGACGGGGCCGGCCCCGCGGCACCTTCGCGGCCGTGTCACGCCGCAGCCCACCGGCGTGCGTGGTTGGACCCGCTATTCGCGTCAGGTGAAGAACAGTCGGAACCACTTGATTTCGAAACAATTAAAAGGAAACCGGGGCTGCCGCTTCGCGTGGAGAGCAAGACAACTGTTAATTATTAGCGAAATTACTAATTTCTCCTGAGTTTCACCCTCCAAACTCCTCGCTGTGGCACTGACCGGTCACCCCAGCATCGCTCGTTATAATCGCACTGGGAAATGCAGAGGAGAGGAACTGGGGAAGGGGCTTTAGACGAGGGGGAGCAGCAAAACAGCACTGGGGAGGGGTGAGCTGGAGGGGGGGCTGAGGGGGAGCAGCCGGGTTTGGGGGACACCCCCCCCCCCCGGGGGGGGCCGAGGGCACCCGGCCCTGCCAAAGGGTATCCTGGAGCGAGCGGAGAATGGGCGACCCCGACGGAAAGCTTCGCCTCCTCCCACGCTGAGCTATAATCGGGGGAGCAGGCACAGCTCAGCGGTTATGGCACACAGGTTGGCTTCCCTAGTCTGGACCGTTTAAAAATACAATGTCTTTCTTTTAATAGCTCGGTTTGATCGGCTCCCGCTAGTTCACATGACAGGGTTTTCCTAAAATATCTTCTTCCACCAAGTTTTTTCCAACTTAAAAATGCTGAATCCTGCTACCCAAATTAAACTCAGTGCAAAGCGAAAAAAAAAAATAAAAATAAAAAAAAATAAATAAAGAAGTGAAAGAGCGCTGGCGGCTGCCTCCGGACTGCTAGCATTCCCCAAACCAGCATATGACACAACTGTAAGATTTCCAAGGCTTTTAGAGAGTTCAGCGAGAGAATCGTGTCCTCCGCTGGCTGCAGCTTCCCTGCTGAGTTAAACTTTCCTGACGGAACCTTCCTGCATCTGGCTCTGGCTCCCCGCGCGTCGTGAGCGGCCGCGGAGGGAAGGGGGATGTAGTTCAAGTCTTATATAACTGTGCAAGCTGGATGCGGGGGCAGAGACTTTCCCTAGAAACGAGAGATTTTTATATATATATAGTTATTTTTAGCTTCCTTTTTCAAAGGAAGGCCAAATACCTCCGACTTTCCTTTGCTTTCTTATTTTGGTATCACTAAGGGATTTTATTTTTGGAGGTAAGGAGCTATTAATAGCTAATATTTTTAGCTATTTATTCCCTCTTTAGGACAATACTTCCTCTTCCTTTCAGGGGCACATTCTGGATCGCATCCCTACCCCCCAACGACCCACCTCCCCCCCATGCCCGTGGCACCCTCTGGGATTTACCAAGAGGATGCCCAGCTTTTGGGGACAGAGGACACCTCCTGGCCCCGGCCTGCTCCCTGGCTCAGGGGGGAGGTTTGGAAACCACCGTTCTCTCCCTGAGCAGCCCAGTGCCGGGCTCCCCGCCGAGGAGGCTGAGCAAGGAGCTCCCGGCCCTGGAGAGGAGAGCTACGGGCGGCGGGGGAGAGCCGGGGGGGTCCCTGGCTTCCCCCGCAGCTGCCTGCAGCATCGCTCCACCACCGTGCAGGGCTGCTGCTTCTTCCATGGGAGAATGAGTGCTCCCCGGCTCTGTGCTAGTAATTGGCAATAAAAACGGAATAGGTGGTTGTTTTGTTGTTTTGTTTGTTTGGTTGTTTTGTTGTTTTTTTTTTTGTTTGTTTTGTTTTGTTTTTTTCTTTCTCTAAATTTCTCATGCTCCCCAGGAGATAAGACATCAAGGCTCCCTGAGGATGTGCTCTCAGGCCATTGGGGCCGCTGCCTGGAGTTTATCATATTAGACTTCACGGAGACATCTCTGTTTTCCACTTGCAAAAGGTATTTCAGGCTCACAGCAACAATAAGTATTTTTGACAAAAGCTCCTCGCCCTTCCAAAGTAAATACTGTTCTCCCCAAATCTGCCATCACACACAATGCACTCCCCAGCACAACCTCGGCATGTTTAAGACATTAAGCAGAGCTGCCCCTAAACACCAGATTTACACACTCCGGCTGTGTCTGCACTGCACCTAACCAGGACCCCCAAAGGGAGCCCACCGAGGACTGAACAATTCAACATCTGCAGCTCAGCCTGCTTAAGTAACACAATCTGGCACCTCCCTCTGTTTTCATAACAGTCCCAGAGAATCAGGACTATGTTACCCAAGCAAGCTTCTTTCTGACAATGCACTTGCCCGAGTAACATATTCGCTCACTCAGTGAAGTTACAAACAGAGCGTCTGATCTTGTCATTGAGCTCCACGTGGCTCAGGGAATCCTCCCACTTACAACTCTCCGAGATTGGAACTAGGACTGCTTGAATTTTTCCCATCAAAACATTTTTTCCAAATGAGAAAGAGTTTTTCACCTAAAATGAAAATTGGTTGCAATTTTCTGTATTTGCAATAAAACTCAATAAACGGAAAGGCTATTTTTTGAGCTAAAGTATTTTTTTGTTTTGTTAGGGGGGATTTTGTTTGGTTTGGGGGTTTTTTTGTTTGTTTTTTGTTTTTTTCCCTAAGAACTGGCTTTTAGTAAACAGATTGCATTTGTGAACATTAAAAATTATTTTTATAAGAGTGATTTTCTTTTTTCATTATTTTACTTTTTTTCTCAACAAAGGCAACCTCATAAAACAAAACCACAAATAAAAAAGAAGTTGAAGAAAGGGTAGAGAACATTCTTTCTCTTCCCTCACCTTCCCCGCCCCCCCCCCCGAAAATTTCCTGTAAAGGAAAAAAAAATGTCTTTCAACTCACTCATAGAACAATAGAGCCCCACTCTCACTGTCTTTAGTCAGGCAGCTCTTGAATTAGTGTACTCTTATGGTACCAGGAGGATGTAATTAATTCAGCTGGCCTGATGTGATACCATCCGAGGCTGCAATTTCCCATTTTACTTATTATCATGTCTGTCTCCTAGAAATCTGTAGGACTGCAGACAGACAGTGAAGTACATTTGCAAAGCAGTCGCACAAGTTCATAGCTGCTTGTATATAGGAGTGTCCGACACCCTCATGTCAGGTTACATGTGAAACAATTACCAGATCTGCACCTGCAGCTGTAGGAAAACCTATTCTGAGCCTCAGCATCCTGAAAAACCCGACCTGCTTGGTTGCTTTTTTTTTTTTTTTTTTTTTCAGTCAGGGAAAAGCTAAATGGCTCAGCCTGCTGCACAGCTGGGGGCTGCCCAGTCCCCCAAAACAGCCCTGTATGCCACCACAAGTCCCATCTCACCTCTGGGACAGAAATCACTGCTCAGCTCTACCCCTGCCCCTCCAATTTGCCAAGAGCCCGCATTGATTCTCGAATGGGGAGTTTTAGAGGCACAGAAATTCATTTGCGTGAGAGAGAGCAACTGAGGCAAGGTGACCCCTTAGGTATGACAGAAGGCATCAGCCTTCCCAGGAGGCTTTTTTCAGAAGTCAAACCTGATCATTCAGCTGAAAATCCAAGAGTTTACATCTAGTTCCTTATGTCTGTATGGGTCTGCTCCCGGTGGGATGGGGGGAAGCCAGGAACAGCCGGGGTCAGGGAAGGTGCAGGTGGATTGTCACCTTGGCAAGGAGGATTCAGATGTGACAGCTCCATAATAAAAGCAATACATTTGTTTAGTAGATTGTAAATGGCACTAGATCTACTCCAAACTTGAAATTTGCTTAGTGCACTCTGATTTGGCAAACTTGTGCAAAGAGGGATGTTTATACACCATGATCTATGCTTTTACCCAAGCATCAGCCGTTGTTTTCAGGGAACACTTAAGCCCTCCAGATTGGCACTGCCTTACAAAATACTACCACCAGTGACTGTGTTAACAGCTCTGAGGCTTTTTGCAAACAAGAATGGAGAATAAAATTGAACTATAACCTTTTACTAAAAGACTAATTAATCAAATAAGAACTCTGGATGAGTCTGTAAATACATTAGTTTCTTGCCAAAGATATTTTCTCTTTAAGATTATAAAACCATAGGTGGGTTTTTTTTGTTTCGTTTTCCAAGATTTTAAGCTAAGGTTCATGAAAAAAAAAAAAAAAAAAAAAGACAGACAAGTAGAA